TTTTTTTTTTTTGTTCCATCAAGCTACCATTTCCCAGGAAGTTTTTAGGATGAATCACAAAAATCAGGGTCACAATATCAATTCCCCCTGATATCCGATCGTCTCAGGATAACATCGAAACCAAATATTCCCAAACAATCTCATCAATTAATTTCTAATGTACATGGATTATATGGTGTACAGCCAAAACTTGATAGTATACGTCGATCGGAAATATCCGGAACATCATTACATAAAAAATATTTCCATACCGGTCATAAATTACCCGCATCATCCGAAATTACCCTATCAACATATCCGTATCAGCAATCACATCAAACAATTGGACCAAAATATCAACTTTTACCATCTTCTTCACATGCTGAATATCGACCAAAACCAGGACAACTTTATCCAAATTATCATTTATCATCACCGTTACCGTACAATCGATTACGTAATCCTCAACAAAAAGATCATCAAAAATTATCCCAAAAATCGGATTCAATATCACAATCTCGTGTAACATTTCAACATCATATAAAACAATTAAATGAAAATCGATTACCAGTAAAACTGGAATACGAAACAACCGGATCTCAAATAAAACCTCATAATTATCCGAAAAAACAAGATTCAAAAAATGAAAATTCTTCAGTTAGACCGGATTCTGAATCATCTATTGCATTGACCACCGCTATAACATCATTTAATCAACAATGGTTCAAACAATCGACAATTTCACTACCGTATGAGGTGATCAATTCAAATAAGCAAACAATTTTGGATCATTGCAGTACTTTTTTTTTTTTTACGAACAATTGGTAGAAAAAATTTTTTAATGAAAATGAAGAAGTGTATTATGCAAATGGTTTTCTTTATTATTACGTTAAAGAAATAATACATAATGTTAAAAGATAGTAATTATCGATTGGTTAGAAATTAGAAGGATAAATTAGAATTGAATAAACTTTTGCTTTTGAATTCTTTTTTTAAGCTTAATTTTTTACAAAAATTATTGATTGATAGTTTTTATATGACTTAGAACGTTAAGCATTTGTTCTTATCCAATCTGAAATGCCAAATTCTTGTAAAATATCCAGCAGTAAAAATTCCTCTTAGATTGATCCACATAAATCCAACTACTAGAAATGCTTGCTTTTATGCATGCATGCATTTTGCAAATCACATGCTGCCAAACATCTTCTTGCACAGCACTTTTTTTTTTGCACATTTATTAGCATCTATTACGGGCTTTTTTTTGCAATTAATCTCATTGATATTCGCACAATTTATTGGTCGTCTTGCACAAATAGCGCAACAACAAAACTTGATAATTTGCACTTTTTAATTTTTGAAAATTTTTTAAAATTTATCAAAAATTTTTTGATGAATTTTAAGTGTTTATTTTATCAGAAAAAAAAATTGTTTGAACGAAGGAACAAAAAAAGAATATTGCTATTTCCATTTGTTGTATAATAAAATAATTTTGTTGCAACATTAAGCAAGAAGCTCATCGTTCACGATATCCGGATCATGAGGGATTACGGTACCGAGAACGACCGGGACCAGATCGAGCGCATTCCGGTTTGCTGCCGCATAGTCTTCAAGCAAAAGATCTTGTTGTAAGTTTTTTTTTCCCTTTTTTTTGCTATTTTACTGTTTACAATATTTTAAATATCTTGGAATTTGAAATAAATTACTTATACATTGTTGAAATAACATCAATTATTTTATTTTAGCTGCATCTCATAGCATTAAATACACCAATGAGTGGTAATATGCGTGGCGTACGTGGAGCTGACCTAGCATGCTATCAGCAAGCTCGAGAAGCAAATTTCCGTACCACTTTTCGGGCATTCCTTTCATCACATGTTCAGGTATTTATTATTAAAATTTTAAAATTAATAGTTAAAATAAACAAAGTTGAATTTATAAACAATAAATTTTCATATTTTATTAGGAATGGTAACTTTTTTGTAGTTCTTACATTTAAAAATTTTTAGACGTGAACTGAAAATTTGAATACTCTAAATTAAATTACATTCGTGCTTTCAGGAGGTTTTTTTATTTTTTATTTTTAGAAATAAATTACACCAAATCATAAATGATATATAATTGAGCTAAGTGAAGAATTATTTTTTTCTCAGGATCTAAATAAAGTGGTACATAGTGGTGATCGTGATACACCGGTAGTTAACCTTCGCGGTGAGCGATTATTCGATTCCTGGGCTGACATATTCCAGCAACGACAAATGGCTAATGTACCAATTTACTCATTCAATCGTCGAAATGTTTTCGTTGATTCGATTTGGTTTGTTGTTCAGATGAATTTTTTTTTCTCTCCTTTTTTTTTTTTTTTTTNTTTTATTGATAATGTTTGAACGGGAATTATGGAGTGAAAGCAATGAAAGAGCGGAAAGAATTCCCGACAGTTCATATGACAATGATGATCCAATTCTAATAATCGTATGCAAAATTTATTCCTATTTGACATTTCAGAATAACTTTGATTATTTGTGGACTATTTTTTGTTTTAAATTAATTAATTAAAAAAAAGGTCATTTTAAGGCCTGAAAAACGTATATGGCACGGTTCGGATTCATCCGGTATGCGTAGTGAGTCCGGTTACTGTAGTGCATGGAGATCAGCAGCATCATCCCAAGTGGGACGAGCGTCATTCATCGGACGTGGTTTACCATTATTACGTGACAACCGTGATTCCGAATGTTCACGTGAATTAATAGTACTCTGCATTGAGGTCTTTTTTTTCTCTGAATTTACTGTTAGCGAGAAAAGGCAAAAAAAAAAGATTAAATATAAATGAATGAATTGAATTGTTTATTTCATTAGTTAGCATCTTAGGTAACTTAAAAAACTTTGAGATACATTATCACAATTCATTCATATATTGTTAATTAATTAAGAAGGTATTAATATAATTTGACCGTTTCTTTTTCTAGTCT